CCACATACACCTAAGGTGGCAGGTCTGAATCCAGCCCGGCGCTAAACAACAATCATGGCTGCAGCCAAAAAACAGCCGGGCGTTGTGGCGGGCACCTGTGGTCCCAGCTACTTGGGAGGCGGAGGCAGGAGACTTGCTTGAGCCCAGGAGTTGGAGGTTGCTATGAGCTGTGAAGCCACGGCACTCTACCCGGGGGGATAGCTTGAGGCTCTGTCTCAAAAAAAAAAAAAAAAAGAAAGAAAGAAATTATAAAACTGTGTTCACATACTTTTGTCTCATTTTAATAGGATTATTCAAGATAGAATTGCAGTCATTTCCAACAAGGATGGATGATCAAAATTGTTCCTTTTAAAAAAAGAATTTTCCAAGTTAAACACGAAAAGAAAATATTGAAATCATGTGAATTCTGACAGGATAAAGAATACAGTATCGCACAGTTACTTGTAATGGAACCGTTGTAAGAGTCATCACTTCTCATGCACCCAACTGGGAACATGGATGTTGGTTTTTCTCGTTCTGCTGTTCAGACACTATCAAGAAGCCACTGCAAAAACATCAAACAAAAAATTTCTCAGTGGGAAGGAAGGGCGAATGGGGTATCTAATCCAGAAAAGTGGCGTCCAAAGGACTTCGGAGTGAGATATAATAATTGTCACCAAGAGATTCTTCCTAAGAAAAATCCTGTTGCTGAGGGAAAGACCAAAAAGTTGGATGTAGCCTGCTCTCAAAACGTGGGCCTGGATATAAATGAAAGTGCCAAAAGCTGTGATGAAAGCGAGGATGGAATTGAGCAACGTGATACACGATTGTTTAAAAATGAATCAGAATCCAGTTGGGTCTGTTCTCAAGTCAAACAAATTGAAAGGTGTAAAGAAGTTATTTTAGATCCAGAAACTTCATTACCTCCAGGAAACTTCTATACTTCACAAATATTGTGGAAGAAAATAGAAGCAGTTCCCCCAGATAAAGTCTTCAATTTGGCTTTAGGACGTTGTGACTCTTCAGAAAAAGAACTGAATTTTAGAGTTCTGGACAGTTCATATGGAGTAACTAAGAGCTTAGAAAATATTTACTCTGAACCTGAGGGTCAAGAATGTGGACTTTCTATAAATCCTTTGCCAAAACCTCGTAGGACATTCAGATATTTATCTGAATCTGGTGCTTTGCCATATAAAGAAAAAAACTGTGACAAAAAATACTGTGAAAATAATATTTGTGCAGAATCTTCTTTGGCTTCTTCTCAGGAACCTGAACCAAAGAAATATGGTGGCAAAATTAGAGGACGATCTAAAAGGTAGGTTTTGGCTTATAGATAATGATTTATAAATCGTTTACTTATAAGATTATTGAGCTGCTTTTTCCTTTTCGAACCAGTTTCCATTCCCTAACTTAGGTTACAGCCCTAATTTGAACATACAAATGTTAATTAATGAGGAAGGAAAAACGAAGAGGAAAAGTAGAAGTATAGGTAATATTTTCAGACAATCTACTAACAAGAACGTCAGAAAATCTGCTGGTTTTTATCTTTAGGAATCTATAGGGAAGTGGGTACCTTCTTGCACTTCACTCAGGGCCTGCTGCCCTTTTCATTAGGGAGCGCACAGGAACCCAGCGAAGAACGGGAACGTGATTGGCTAAAAGCCTCAAATTCTCTCCTGGGATGTGTAGGGCACCACCCTAATGTATTATTCTTAGATCTCTGATGAAACACCTTTATAATTTGTACCACATCCCTTACTTACATTTCTGTCTGCTATACCAATGTAAAGATTAGAATTTTGAAAGATACAACTTTATATCTCCTTTCTTAAGGAAATCCTTTGAATTTGAGGATATTCAGCACTTTCGAAGTCGAAATTCACAGAGGATTCATGAAGAACTGGGAAGAAACTCTGGTTCGGCACTTTATTACACACAGTCTGAGGACAACATCTATGAGGATATCATATGTAGGTGCCCACAATTTTGCAATTAAGTTTTATGATTATGTATTTGCTGAAGCCCTTATTTGTAGGATAGCATTTTCTAAGCATACCTCGCACTAGGTTTTTGTTCTGAGTATGGGAACTTTTGGTATACAAATTCTTTTATTTTCTAATGAATTTTATAGCTAATGTAATGGACTGCTCAGTTCAGAGACAGATATTTATAGTATAGTATTTTGAGAATTTATTTAGCTCAGTTAGACACCTAAGGCGTTTAAAAGCTTAAAGTGCTATTGATCTTGAGACCAACTTTCGTATAGCAGTGCAGGATAAGAGACCTGAATGTGCCTGGGGCAAGGTAGCTCACGCCTGTAACCCTAGCACTCTGGGAGGCCTGGGTGGGTGGATCCATTGAGCTTAGGAGTTCAAGACAGGCCTGAGCAAAAGTGAGACCCCATCTCTATTAAAAATAGAAAACCTGGCTCGGCGCCTATAGCTCAACGGGCTAA